CGAGTTGAGTTCAATATTTGGAAAATAGTCGTAAAGATCAGCAACATTGAAGGTTTTTGATATGCCTATGCTAACAGAAAAACTAATAATATAAGCATTGCCATTGATTTTTTTCAGCACCTTGTACGAACCAGATTTCCTCATCTTTAGTTTATTATAGGTGCCTACTGAAAACCTCTCCTTATGCATGAAAACCATGACCATGTCTCCTTGAAACAATTTAACCCACCTAGCTTGTCTGATGCATGCTTATTTCTAGTAGTTGTTTCTTCTTGTTTTCTCCTGATCTCTTGATGCACAATTTGCACCTATTCAGCCAAATTATTCTTTGTTGACTTGTGAAACCTAGGCTTCATGTACACAATTTCAAATGGTGTCTTGCCAGCAACACTATGCTTGGAACTGTTGTAAGCAAATTCTGCCTGAGTCAATGTAACATCCTGCTGTATAGGCTTGTCTCCATAAATGCTGCAAATCAGATTACTTGAAGTTCTGTTTAGAGATTTTGTTTGGCCATCAGTTTGTGAATGAGCAACACTACTAAACTTCAAAGAGTAGTTAACATCTTCCATAAAGTTAGCCAAAAATGACTAAGGAACCTGATATCTCTATAATACGTGATGGATTTTGGAACACCATGTAACCTCACTATCTCCCTGAAAAGTAGCCTAGCCACACTAACCGCATCCATAGTTTTCTTACAAGGTATAAAGTGTGTCATCTTTGAATATTTATCTACAACAACAAAAATAGAATCCATTCCTCATTGAGTTCGTAGAAGACCTAACAAAAAATCCATGGAAATATCTTTCCAGATATGTTCAGGTATAGGTAGAGACATGTATAAGCCAATTTTTTATGATTGCCCCTTAGCTGATTGACAAGTAAAAGAATGTTGAAAAAATTTGTTGGCATCATACTTGAGCTGAGGCCAACAATACTTATCTTCTAAAGCTGATACTCTTTTATCTCTTCCTCCATAACCCTTTAATTCGCCATGCAAGTCTCGAATCAATTTCTTGCCTAGGGATGTGCGAGATATACACAATTGATTACCTTTCAATAAATAACCATCATGTATACGAAAATCTCAATCAACCCAACCATTGGAACACTTATACCATATCTTTTGAAAATCAACATTTTCACCCTATAGCTCATTCATACACCCAAAACCCATAATCTCGCTATGAAAAGTGAATAGTAGGGCAACTTGCCTACTTAATACATTAACCACTTTGTTCTGAACTCCTGCTTTGTGCTTCAAACTGAAATTGAACTTCTGAAGGAATGTAATCCACCTAGCCATCATATCCAGATTGATTTGTTCATGATTATTCAGAGACTTAAGAGTTTCATGATTTGAATACAAGATAATCTCTATTAATCAAATAATGCTTCCAAACTTTCAAAGCCCTTGCCACATCATAGAGTTCTTTATCATAGGTAGTCCACTTCGAGTTTCATTTAGCTTTTCACTGGAAAAGGCTATAGGGTATTTCTCTTGGGAAAGAACTCCTCCAATACCTACTCCACAAGCATCACATTTAACCCCAAACAAGTTGTTAAAGTTGGGTAAAGCAAGCACTGGAGCATTGCGTAACTTCTCTTTTATTAAGGCAAAACTTTATTCTTCCTCAACCCATTTAAACTTTCCTTCTAACATTTGATGATTAGTGCCATAATACTACTAAAATCTTGAATATATCTTCTAGAAAAAGTAGCCCAGCCATGACAGCTCTGCACATCATTAACTGTCTTGGGCATGGGCCAATCACATATTGCCCTCACTTTCTCCTTATTGACTTCAACTCTATCAGCTCTTGCTACAAAACCCAAGAATAATAGCTTGCTGGCCATGAAGCTACATTTCTTCAGATTTACATATAGCTTGTTTATAAGCAACATCTCTAGTACATTCCTTAAGTGCTTAATATGATATAAGCAACAACTCTAGAACACTCTTTAAGTGCTCATTATGATCTGTTTCATTATGACAAAAAACAAGGATATCATTAAAATAAATCACAACGAATTTATTAATGAAAGATTCCAAAATCTGATTCATCAGCCTCATGAATGTACTCAGTGCATTCATTAACCTAAACGACATGACTAACTAATCATATAACCCATCCCTTGTCTTGGAAGCCACTTATCCCCTATTCGAATTTGATGGTACCTTACTTTTCAAGTCAATCTTCTAAAAGACTGCTGCACCACACAATTGATTTAGCATGTTGTTTAAACATGGAATTGAAAACCGATATCACACAGTGATTTTATTAATGACATGACTATCAACACACATATGCCAACTACCATCCTTTGGTGTCAGTAAAGCAGGGACAACACATGGATTTAAGCTCTCTTGAATCATCTCTTTATTTAGCAATTCTTCTATTTTCTCCCTTAAGATCTCTCCTTTTTTTGGGCTCATTCTATAATGAGGTAAATTTGGAAGACTAGCCCCTGGTATCAAGTCAATATGGTGTGAGTATCACACGTAACTCATCTGGAATAGCTTCTTGAAACTCTTGCAATAGAGACTTATCAACTTTAGTGACCTCAACTGCCTTGTCAACTTAGCAAGAATTTCACAATTAAAGCATGCATTTCCTTTGTTTCTTTTAAATTTGTTTCAATTTCTGACAAAGATTAGGTAATAGTAAGGAATGCCTTTCCTCCAGCCTTTTGGGCTTTTGGCTGAGAATTCCTCTCTAGAGGCATCAAAGGAAAATTAATCCCATCCTTAACAAACCTATAAATGCTTTCATGTCCCCATGTCATGCATTTACATTATGCTACCATAGCCTACCAAACAAGTTACAAGCATTCATCTCAACTACATCACAATAAACTTCATCCTTATATAGTTGTCTATGGAAAAAAGGAATTTCACATCTTTCAGTTACTGCTATTGTTGGTACCTTTTTAATCCAACCTATAGTGTAAGATTTTGGATGTTTTTCAATATTCAAACCCAATTTAATAGTGATTTCCCTACCAATAATATTCTCATAGCTAATGCTATCAAGAATAAAGTAAAAAAATTATTGGTGTGTTGTCTCATCGTTAGCTTTTGGTATGAACAATAATTATCTTGCCATATATGCTTGACCATTATCATCCTCATACTCATCCTCACTATCAGGTTCACAACACTCCTCCAGATACAATGACCTTCTTTACACTCTTCATCCCCACGATCAATTATCATCCTAATACTCACCTTTACTATCAGGTTCACAGCACTCCTTCAGATACAATGACCTTCTTTACACTCTTCATCCTCATGATCACAGGTCTTCTCTAAGGACATACATTGGATGTATGCCCTTCCTGATTGCATCTATAACACTTTATTGGAGGTGGCTTGGCATAAGGATTATCACACTTGTGTAACATCGTGGTGATCATCTTTTTGGAACAAGATTTTGAGTGGTGTGGAAAGAATAAAGAATTCTTGTGTTTTTATGGTTTACAAAAAATCAAAGCTGCTACCTAGTATTCTGATCATTAGAAATCTTAAATGATTTTCAGAGTCTGGATAATGGGATTTGTTGTTTATAGGAAAAACAATATCACTCCTGGTACACCCTACCTATGATAGCTGCATAACTCATTTGTTTGATTATTACTAAAGTTTTGTTATGTTTTTCTAACCATTGAGCTGTCTAATGGTTAAAGCAGGTTCATCTTAGAAGAGTGAACCATGACTTTATGAGTCAAGCCTAGCTATTCTAAAGACAAAATATATTTTTTGCATTGTTTTTTTAATATCGGGAATACATCTTACATATAAGTTCTTAACTCTTTATATTAAAAATAAATAAATTGAATTTTTGGTGTTTTTGAAATTTAGATCAAGTCCTCTTGGTTTTAATAAACTTGTTATTAAATCCATGATGCATACAAAATATAAAATCCATTTTTTTTTTATATTTTTTGGTGTGCTAAATCATGCAATGCCTTTTTGTCATATTTTTGTATTTTTATTAAAAATGCAAACATGATTTTTTTGAGAAACTTGGCCATGTTCATTTTGTAAAACATAAATGTATATTTTGAAATATTGATTTTTGTTGTTTCTCTATTTTTTTACACAAAAAACTGGTTTATATAATACTGAAAAAGCGTCTCATGTATAAATTCACAATTTTAAATATTAAATAAAAAATGGAAAAAAGTGATTTAAAAGGCCCAAAATTAATTGTGAAATAGTCCTTCAAAAATTTGAAAAATAATTAAAATTAAACTAGAGTGTATTTTGCAAAACACAAGAAAAAAAAGAAAATAAAGGGTGTGAAAATTAAGTTATGGTGTGTTTGCCAAACACGCACAAACATGCCTATAACTAAAAAATACAAGCTTAAAATTTGCTTTAAGGGTGTGTTTGCCTTACACGTCTTAATAAAGTAAAATGCATTTTTTCCTTGATAGATTTTAGACCTTAAAGGTTTAGCCCGATCAAATGTATTGGGCTTTCTAACCTGACCAGAAGCCAACACAAGCTTTGTCTGAAGAAATTGAATGGGCTTAAAAGAAAAGGAATTGAAGCCTTATCCAAAAAAGCCAATGGGCTTAACAAAACAACCCAAGTTTACTCTTGAAAAAACAAAAGGCCTTGAAGGCCTAATCCACAAACAAATCCAAGAAGAAAGTTTCATGTTTTAAAGATTAAAGCAACCATTCATGAACTTGCCTAGAATTCTTTTATTTTTCCAGGTATTAAAGGATCAAGCTCAATCCATATTCAAGTAAAACATAAAAAGAGACTTAACCAACATTTCAAAACTAAGCATGCAATAACCATCTTATCTCATTTTGGTATCCAAAGATTAAAAGAACAGACATGGGTATTTCATGCTTAAAACAAAATCTTAACCAAACATTTTTTTGTACAGAAACAAAGGACCAAATGCTTAGCCTGATCCATGGGTTTCTTTGCCAAAACCACACTTCAAACATTGTGTTCAATAAATGCACATTTTTTTCTATAAAATTCCTCAACCCCTGAAGCGAGAATCTATTGTTATACCATAGCAAATGTTTGGAGAACCTATTGTTATACCATAGCAAATGTTTGGAGAACGAGCTTTCTATCGTAACTTGTAGTTGTTCCTTTATCTTTTCTTGCTGTTGATGGCAGTTGCTTTTTTGGAGCTTTGGAGGTTGAAAAATCATGGCAGGAGGGCGTGGTGAAGGGTTTGAATGTTGAGGACTGTGGCTACTGCCAATGGGAGGAGTGATGGTGAAGGATAACCCTTGGTGTACTGGTTTTCGGGGAAAAGAGGAGGAGATATTGGCAAAAATGAAGGAAAAGAAAAGGAAAAATGGTGTTGCTGGGGTCTATGAACTGAAGTGGGTCACAATGGAAACAATTTTGTACCATCCCAAAATGGAAAATTTAACAAACTCTTTGAAATGGAGGAGTTCATAAATAGATTAATTGGTAACTCAAACAATAAAACCAGTTACGCTGTTTTAATGTGGTTCAGTATAGGTTTGTGAAAGTTCGAATTGAAAATTCATATTGAATAGAAATTCAGATTGTTGCATGGTTTGGATCATGGTTTGAGTAATCAAACAATGAATACCCCTTTGTCAAACACTTTATGTTGATCAAAGCTGTTAGAAAAATATTTGAGATAGAAATAGCATTTAGTTTCAAGTTAAAATGATAAATTTATAGTTTAGTTGGTTTGTTCAAAATATGGGTAAAATTGAGAAGGGGAAGAATGCAAAGGATGATCTTGTGATTTTTCCAATTTGCTCTGCAATGACCGAGCTTTGAATCTTGATTCTTCAGAGGCATGTGGTTTCCCTCCTTTAGCACCTGCTTTTTTGTTTTTTCAATTCAAGTTGCTGATATGATTGCCTATAATCATCCCATCTTTTTATTTTTTTTATTTAGGTAATTGAGTCGCAATCCTTCATTTTTTTTAAAAAAAAAATGGACCAAATTTATGTAATGCTATCCCTTTGCTGACCTGACATGGTTCCTGAATCAATATGAAACACAGAACTTAAATATTTATTATGTTTTTTTTTTGTTTTTTATTTTATTTTTATCAACCATGTACTGTTTTTTCATTGGTCTTGGATAGTTTTATTTATTTTTAATAATAATAAAGAGTAGTCTATTTCATGGTTTTATATATTTTTAGTTACACTTGAATAGATGAATCATGATAATGATTAGTACATAAAATGTAGGGTATATTTTCATGTGTAAAAGTGTTTGGTATAGCATATTTGATAACATTCTAATAAATTGTTAGAAATTAGAGGAGTAGGATTTCTTAGAAAAGTTACATCTATCTAAGAAGTTTTGAGGACTGATAATACAATTGTCCCTTCGATTTAATTAATAGTTAAAGGGGTAAATGCTGCGAGAGGAAAGCACAAGCTCAAATTTGAAAATTGGTCACTCAAATGTAGATAGTCCAAACTAAAAGGTTCTTTTTAGCATTTTCCCCAATTGAGAAATATGGGAAAAGTTCAAGAATTTTGCTACTTTGTTGGGATCAGTGTTGTTAAAACCATGCCTTAGGCATGTGTTAAAAGGATGTCTTAGGCATGCTTGAGGCACAAGGCATGAATGCTAAGGCCAATGCTTTTATTTAACTCGGTGATGCAACTTCACTGTGATGTGGATCCAAAGGCACAAACCCATGCCTCAAAAGAAATCTTTCCTCTATTTATTCAGTTGCTTTATACATTCTCTCTCTCTCTCTCTCTTGCCTTTCTTTCTTTTCCCTCTCTATCTACAACATTTTTCCTCAACTGGGGTCCATGACAATTTTTTGTCCTTTGCTCTAGCATTTGAGCTAATAGAGAAAATTAATTATCATTGTACTTTTCTATCTTCTCTTTATGTCTTAGAAATCTTTCCATGCAACTCATCATGCATTCTATTAAAAAAATACACGCCTTGATTCTCCCAATCTTTTAACAACAGGACAACTTTGTCATCATGTCCCACAAGGGATTTGGTGAGTTAAGGTTTCATAAATGTGGATTTATGGATGATTAGGGGATTGTTTTAGTAGAATTTAGTATTTGAATTAAGGCTGTAAATATTACCTACCTGATAGTGCAGTAGGTAGGCAATAAGAAAGAGAAGAAGAAAATAGTACATGGAGAAAATAGAACAAAACACTCAAGGCTGCAGCTCTCAAACAAAACCAAAATACTCATAATCGCATTATCAAAATATTCCCAATTACACTGAAAATATGCTCCTTTTATAGGCATCAAAGCACCAATAGTTCTAAACTAAATAGTATTCTTCAATTGACTAGAATTACAAGAAATATAAACTATTTGGGATTTAAATTTAAATGAAAATAATTTCTAAGCCTCTCTCTTGTTGATTGCATCAACAACACTTCTTGAGTTACAGTTTGTTAAGCATGTTGTTTGCTTATTTCATTTCAAGCGTGCTTAGATTACATGCTTGTTTCTTGTCACAGGCTGACATTTGTTTGTTTCTCTAATTCTTAATTCTCTACGAACTCTATATAGTTGTCACTGTGATTAAGAAATTCAATAATGAATAACTATTTTAATCAGTAACTTAGTTAATCTTTAAAATTCTTCTAGGCATGACTGATATCTGTGTTATGGCATCCTGATGCAGGAGTAAGAAATTAAGCTAAATATCTTCCTTGGGTTGGTTGATTCTTGATTCCAAATTATTTTCTTGGTACAGTTATCTGTGCTTGGATTTTTCTGATGCCATGTCTGCACTTCTAAATGAGTCTCTGCTGTTTGTAGTGGTTTGCTGGGTGTATTATTCCTTACTAACTCACGCTAGATGCTCTATAAGATTGATGACCACAGCAGATTTTTTCTCATTTTCAGTTTCTTATAGTTGTTATCTTCTGATGACAAGTTCAATTTTGGAATGGTTTTTTAAGCAAGTCACTTGTTGCATGAACCTTGTATATAGGGTGGGGGCCCATATTATCTCATTGGTCGTGCCCTTGGTCCTGAGATTGGAGTGAGTATTGGATTATGTTTCTTCCTTGGGAATGCAGTTGCTGGAGCTCTGTGAGTATTTCTTGTCCCTTATCTAATGCCACCATGTCATGTATGGTTAATGACCTAGACAATGTTCTAGGACTTGAGGTTCCCATTAGTTTTATTATCTTTATAGCCTATTTGTATATGCTAAGTATTTGTGTTGACATCATTCTTTTCATTTGCTTCTACTTATTGTTTTAGCTATGTGTTGGGAGCTGTAGAAACCTTTTTAAATGCCGTTCCTGCTGCTGGGCTATTCAGAGGTAAAGATTCAGAGTTTTCTGCTGATATTAGACATGATTGGTAGCTGTTAGCATGAATCTAACCTTACCATCTCAAAATGTTAAAGAACACTGATAATTTATATCTTTGGCTGTTCATGTTTTCCCTGTAGAGGCTATAACAACATTTAATGGAACGGAAGTTGCACATCCCATACAAAGTCCAAGTTCACATGATCTGCAAATTTATGGGATTGTTGTGACAATTGTCATTTGCTTTATCGTGTTTGGTGGTGTGAAGATGATCAATCGAGTTGCACCTGCTTTTCTCATTCCTGTTTTGTTCTCGTTGTTCTGCATATTTATTGGGATATTTTTGGCGAAGAAGGATTACCCTGCCGGTGAGTATTAAGTTGTTAAGTTCTTCTTCTTCTTTCTTGGTAATGTTTGCCTATTACTTGTCATAGCTACTCTGGGTGATGCATTGAGCATTTAAATACGATAGAAGTCTGGCATTGGAATGATGTTTTGGAGTACATGTTCCAAATCCTTGACCAAATTTAATGTTGATGAGTACATACGTGGTGTTTTTTAGACTACACCCTGATCCATTCTAACTCTGGAGGAAAATAATTAGCTACTACTGTAGTTTTTTCAATTCACGGTTGTCTTTTACAATTTAGTTTTGATGGCTACATTATTAACTATCAGGATCAGAAAAAAGACTTGCCATGTTCATGATCGTAGCGTAAAGTATTTTGAATTTTGAATTGAACTGTTACAGACAAAAACCTAATGAGAAACAAAATTTGTTTGGGCAGACAGACTAGTGAACCAACCAGGCGACCTAGTGAAGCAATTTGTTTTCTAAGTATTTTGTTTTCAACTTAGCAATACTTCTCTGTTAATATTTTTAATTATTCTTGAAAGTAAATTTGATAATATTATATGCCATGTTTTAAATATAAATATTATTTGAGTTAGTAATAGAGGTGGCAAATGGGTGGACATGAGCTAGGTGAAAATAGGTATGGGCAATGTTCTGCGCATACCCTTTTATGACCCATTTATTTTTTCAATGGATACCTACACCCGCTTAAACCCACTTAACCTAGCCATCAACCCATTTAAATTGTTTGACCAATTTTACTGTTTGATGTGCAGGGACTTGATTGCAAAAGAAAATTTTAATTAAGGGACTAAAATATATTTAGTATAAAAGCTTTCAAATAAGAACTTATTTGTTGGAAAAATAAATTAAATAAGTTTTTCAAAAATTCAGGGGCTAAATGAAAATTAGTAAAAATTTTGTTTTCCCTCTCAAATCAAATGACCAGCTATGAAATTTGATGGGGTCGGTCAATATGATGAACGGGAAATTCCCCAATGTTGCTTCATTGAAGTCCCTCATGGAAGCAGAATTGGCTGATGTTGAAGGCTTTTAAATTGAGCTATATCTGTCAATGGGTCAGATGGGTGACCCTTACCCAACCCCATCCATCCCATTTATCTTAGAATATTTTTGCGACAATCCATTAGTGATCCGTTTAAATTGACACTTTTATGACCCATGCCCCTTTAAAATAGATAGATTTGGGTTGGCTTTTGCCACCCTTGGTTAGTAATTATTATGGATAACATATAAATAAATTTGCAAATTTACTTGTGGGTTTTATCTGATTCACGAATTCAATTAGTGACCTGGTACCTTGGCAGCTTCACTATCTAGCTCAGTTCTGATAACTATGAATCCTGAACTTAAAATTGTGTTCTGACATTAAAACCTTTGATTTAGAACTATCTGTCTATAGATGAATACACTTGATAATTATTGAAGGTGATGGGCTGAGATAGAGCTTTAGATCTTAAGTGCATCTTTCATAAGGAGGAAATTGAA